GGGCAAATAAAGAGTCCATAGGTATGTGTGGGTTTGGGGGAAGAGGCTGGACTCCCAACTTTCTCACCTACCCTCCAGGAGCCCCCAGTCTATAGGGAGGAAGACAAGCCCAGATGCCAAGCCAAGATGAATTGGGTCTGGAAGCTGGGAGAGTAGTCTAGGAGTCCTTTAAAGGATTGCAGTGGTGTGCACCAGTGCAAATAGGGAGCAAAGCCCCATGCAGGAGACAGGACAGGACAGGTCCAGGTGAGGAATCCCCAGAGAAAGCTCAGTTTGGTTATGATTTAAGGATAAGAGAATGTTTGGTGGGAAATAAGGCTACCTGATGGCTAAACAAGATTAACGCAGGTCACCTGGTAAAACATCAGGACGGTTGGGGTAGAGGATGTAGAGGGATGAGAGATGTTGGCCAAAGGATACAAAAATTCAGTTACTGAGGGGGAATAAGTTCAGGATAACTACTGCAACATGGTAACCATAGTTGATAACAAAGTATTACATACTTGCAAACTACTAAAAGAGTATATTTTTAAGGGTTTTTGCTCTTACTCAAACACATTCCAAAAAAGATGAAAAAGGTAATAGATACATCAAAAAGCTTGATTTAACCTTTCCACAATATATGTATGTATGTATATGTGTGTGTGTGTATGCATACATAAACACACTATATATGTCATGTTGTATATCTAAATATATACAATTTTTGTTTGATTTACAAAATAAGTTATCCCCCCCCAAAAAAAAAGGCTCAAATTAGCATCTCCAACAGGCCACCCAGGTATATCTAACAGAGAAGGAAAGTAGGGGCACAGATCATAAGGAACTGAGAGGATGAGTAGATTGTGACCATCACAGGGCCAGGAAATGCTTCAAATTGGTTAAGAGACTGTGAAGGTGTTAGAGAGGCCACAGAAGCTGCAGCCACAAACAACACCAAATCTGAGCTTAACTATGTGTATCTTCCCCCTGCACACAGTGCTCTTCAGATCTGACCAGCTCAGGAACACAGCTGTCCTCGTGGCAGACAGCTTTCTCGGTTGCATCTATCTTGTGGCTCCATCCCCACAGAAGATCTCCTACATGGTCACCCTGGCAGGGAGGTAGGAGAAGGCCTGGAGAACCAGGATAGCAAGAAAATGCCTCCCTCTAGAAGTGACAGGAGGTCCAGTCCACACTGCCAGAATCTGTCACCTGACTGTACTGTGAGGATTCTAGGAGTGTCATCTCCCAGGGCCTGGAAGAAGAGGAGAACCAGATGGGCTCAGTGCTGGAAGTCTCCATTACCAACAGACTGGTGGCAGGAGGTTGGCTGCCTGAGGCTCTGCCCATGTCATCTGTCAGCTGCATAATTGCACAGCCTTCCAATTCACTTTTTAAAAGTCACAATAATGTGTGCTCCTTGAGGTGATATGGAGAAGAAGATTTCTGTGAAGTATTAACTGAAGTCACCCTCAAATAAACCATCTTTCCTCCCTGTGAGGCCCTAAATAGAAATTCATGCACCACTGAGGCAAGCAGAGAATTTCATATGGGGATAGACTGCAGAGGCCAGGGGCTGTCTGACCAACTTCCCTTTTCCTCCTTGGTATATACACCTCCTTCGTGCACAGCAGTAGGCACAGGACCCAGGCCAGAGCTCTGCCACACAGCCACAGGAATCCGTTCAGGGTAGGGCCCAAAGGGAACCAATTCAAGGAGACCCCAAGGACTTTCTTTTAAGCATTGTGCTCTGGAATCTCTAGTTTTCCTAAACTTGGAGCTGTTGATACTCTTCTTGCCAACATATGGGGGAGCTGGCCTCAGGAAAAAGCCAAGAAGTGGGATAAACAGAATTGTAGAGAAATTAGAGGGAGGGAGGAAGCGGGGGAGGAGGGGAGGAAGGGAAGGAGGGAGGGAGGCAGAGAGAGAGAGAGAGAGAAATAAGTATGCAACTTGAGCTCCTGGATCCAATGGTGCCTGAAGGTGTGACCCAGTTACACCACCAATGCATTTTCTCTTTCTGTTTAGATGAATTCAAAGTATATTGTCAAATAATTACAAATGAAAAAATCCTGAGTAATACAATTACCAAATGCCCTTGGGCTACAAAACCTAGTGAAGAATTAAGCCTTCATTTAGTGAAGGCTAGAATTCAAGGAAGCACCCTTTCCTCTAAAACAACCTTTTAGTTAAAAAAAAAAAAAAAAAGTAGAAAATGACTTGGTCTTGGTGTGGGAGAAAAAAGACACAGGCTCTTCTGTTGGCAGGGGAGCTACCCCTGAACATTCCTCTAGTATCCAATCTTTTTCCCCTTTCATCTCATATCCTGTGGGTCCGGGGCTTAGGACATGCATAAATGAGGTGCACCCCCAGACTGCTATCGGGCCCCTTCTCTGATATGGAGTGGCCTAGAGGTCAACTGAATGAGCCCCCTCTGCAGCCCTGTGAAAGAATAACTTGTGACCCATGCCCCACTGCAGGCTAGGGAAATAGAGATCCTGTCAAGTAAAGTTGGGTGGAGAAGGATTTCTTTAGCCACAGGAGACCACAGCCTACCATGTGAGGGCTCATGGGTCCCTGGGAACACATGCAGCTTCTCCGTCCTGGGCCTGCAGGGTCTGGCTCCTCCAGTGGGTTCTGCCCACAAGTACTCTCTGCATACCATCTCTGCTGTCTAGGGAACAGCCCTGGCTAGCCCAGGCCAGCAGCCTCAGCTCACAATCAATGCAGACTTCAGGTTCAGAGGCTCAACCACAGAGCCCAAGGTCTAGAAGGCAGAGCTGCCAGGTAAAACGTGGATGGGCTTACCACATCACTCTGGTAGATGACTACAGGGCCACCAAAGCAAACCCCAGCATGAGGCATGACAAAAAAAAAAAAAAAAAAAAAGAGGCACCTAGCTGTCCAACTGTATTGCCCATTCTAGACAACTTGGATAACTGGCACTCTGAGACCCTGTCCCCTGGCAGGTAGCTGCTCCCAGAAATGGCCATGTGAAACCTCACAGCAGTTTTGTGGAGTATTAAACAGCTGGGGTCATCTCTAACGTGGTCCAGGGAGTATCTTTCCATGGAAAGATGATAAATGTCTGCTCTCTCTCTCTCACCTTTGCCTATACTCCATGAAAGTGCCCAGGGGGAAATGAATCCATCTCAGAGGACCCTGAGGGGCAGGGCTGGTGGCTCACACACACCTGGGAGTATCCTGAGGAAGGCGAACCCCTGAGCAGCTTGAACTTTGCAGCCACTCCCACAGTGGTTGCCTAAGGGACCTGTGGACTCAGCCTTATGGTGGCACATTGAATGGGGCAGCCAAGTCCCTGCAGCTTGGTGGCCCAAGCTCTAGGAGGGTGGTGGGCTCGATATTAGTTCCTTTCCTAGCCACTGTGGCCGCCTGCCAGGATAGTGACTGAAAAAGGGCTCACTTGTCAGGCCCAGATGGGTAACCTTCCCACAAAACATGGAGTAAAGAGGCCTCAGAGCCACAGGAAGCAAGCCCCAGCACTCCTGTTTGACCAACCTCTTAGTCTGGAACACCCCCCCCCCACGCCCGGGGCAACCTGAGTAGTGCATAGAGCTCCTTGGTCCCTGCCTTCTGCCACTCCTGCCACCTGCACCCACTCATGCTGAGCTGTGAGAGTAAGAAGAACCTCAAGGTCAAGTATGAATTAGGAGCACATCCACCCTACACACCTGCCACACAAAGAGTCAAGATGTGAATGGAGCCTCCAGCTGTGCATGGGTTATTATCATTATCCCCTATGTTTAGAGAAAACAAGGGTTCAGGGAGCTCAGAGAAACTCAATAAGTTGCAATATGCTGCCACACCAACTCACACCTTTGGAGAGGCAAACTCTCATCATACCTGGGACCCCCAAAATCTTTCATCCCCTAAGAAACCTTAGTAACAAAAGTGCTCCTTCCTTCCTCCAGGAACACATGCATGCATGTGCTGGACTAGGTGGAACGTGGTGTCCAGGCCAAATGCCAGGACTCTTGGGGAACCCCAGACAAAATTTCTTCCTGTTCAGTATTTTCCAGGCTTCAGATTGTGACCCACTAAGGTCTGGGAAGACTATCAATGGGTAGAAATGGGAGTGTATCACACACAGAGTGTAACACCATCATGGGTGTGGTTTAATGAAAATGGTATGGTTTATGAATATACATTTATATGTATGTATAGATGCTCCTCAATTTGCAATGGGGTTACATCCTCATAAAACCATTGTGAGTCAAAAAGGGTCATAAATGGAAAGTGCATTGAACACACCTAAACTACAGAACGTCCTTGTTTAGTAACACAGCCTGCTGAAGCGTTGGTTGTTTCCCTGGTGATCTCGTGACTGAGAACTGTGGTTTGCTGTCACTATTCCAGCCTCAGGCGAGAGAGAATCATACTACATATCACCAGCCTGGGAAAAGAACCAAATCAAAATCCAAAACTCAGAATATGGTCTCTACTGAATGCATATCACTTTCACACAATTATGAAGTTAAAAAATCATAAGTCAAGTAAGTTGGAGACTGTGTATATATGTACAGACATCTATATAGACACATATACATACAAACACCTACAGTACCTGAAGGGTGGATTTATCACATGTAAGAGTAAGTATTCTGTTATGAAAATGATATCAGTTATAGATATATACACATGATTATATACACACATCCAGACATGCATGTGCTTATACACATATATGCACATGTGAATGGGGTGGCCATGTCACTTGTATAATTTCCTGTGAGTCACAGTCGAAGAAGTTTGTACAGCTCTCTTACTCTGTTTACTTCAAGAGAAAGAAAAAGTAGCAGCCAAAAGTCCCTGGGCTTGTCAGGAAATAGGCTGGTAGACATTTTTAGCACAGGGTAAAAAGATCTCTAGCAGAGACTGCCCTCGCCTGCCACAGACACTGGGGGGCGTGTTGACATTGTCTGCAGGAAAGGACTCGGGCTCCTGAGGCAGAAAACCTTGGCCAGCTCTCAAGCCTCCCTGATCCTTAAAAATCTTACCTATAAAGCCACCTCTTCAGGTTGTGTAGAGATGAAACACATCATCACATGGGAAAGGTCCTAACAGCGCTGAGAACCCTTCCTCCTTCTGATCTGCACAGACAAGATTTTTATCTTGCAGACAAAGCCTGAGCCATACCCAGGATCCTGCACAGTGACAAAGTCTCCTCAGAAGTAATCCCGCCCTCATAGCCTGCAACTCACCAAAGCAACAAAACATAGACAAAAACTTAAAAGAAACAAAAACATACAGGCTGAGCCCGCCCCGTCCTAGCGTGCGTAAGATACACACAGGAAGGAAGCGGCTGGGTGATTCAAGGAGGCAGAACTGCAATGTCTCAAGGAAGGAATATTTTCCAACAAGCCTGACTGTGGTTTTGAAGAAGATTTCAGACGTAGTTCTGGCCAGTCACCCTGCCCCCCACTGTGTCCCTTCCTGGTCCCCCCACCCATGCTCCCTCCCCCCCAGCACTAGTAGTGTTTGTTGTCTAGACACAGCAGTGAGGGTGGACGCCTGCTCAGGAAGGGCTCAGTGGGCTGCTGTTCAGTCGAGTGGGGTGGGAACCAGGCAGGCTGAGCAAAAACCACAGTTGGTCAGCATGGCAGGGGTTGTGGCAGGGGGCAGGGAGGAGTGGGCAGCTGCCCAGTGTGCAGGGCTGAGGGAAGAAGTGGACCTCCAAAAGTCTGTTCTCACTGTGTACTCCCAGTGACTGACTCAACAACAAACCTGTTTTTGATTTGCAAAGGTCCAGCCCTTTGGAACCAGGGTAGTTCCAAGCATGATACTTTCTAACTCAGAAGTCCTTCCATGCCTCTGAGCACTGAGGGATTAACTGCATGACCCAGTTGTAAGCCTATCTCACTCCACCCTCCTCTACGCAGCCTCCCCTGCTTTCCAAGCACTTGCTCCATCTGAGGCAAGCATGCTTATTCATACCTCCCTTTGTCTGCACTGTTGATTCTCTGTCCTTCTTCCCTGTCTTCTGTCCAAGTCCTGCCTGTCCCCTGGGCCCAGCTCAATGACACCTCCTCTGTGCACCTACCCAGTCTACCCAGCCAGAAAGTCCCTCTTCTCTCACTGTCACTGATCTAGCATCTTACCATGTCGGTAGTTACATGTCCAGCTATGTGAGCTAAGTAAGTCACTTCAGCTCTTTAAGCACATTCTCCATCTGTAGAATGAGGATATTGAGCTGCCAGTGGAGAAGAGGCAAAGCATGCAAAGCCATGAGCCCAGCACATAGGACCCTCCCATCATCAGTGTTGCCTGAATTATTACTTCAATGGTGAGGATGATGATGAGTCTTTATCCTCCTCCAGATGGTAATCTCTAGAGTAGCACCTGCCAATTCTCCCTCCAGCTTCCCCATTCATGCCTACATAATCTTGCCTGCATATGGAAGTGTTCAGAGAAAGAGTTGTAAAAAGTGATATACTCTGGTGGTCTGGGGCTAGGAGACTCCAAATGATATAGGTCAGTCAAAAGCCAGAGTGAGGCATACAGCACCTTCCACAGGAGAAGCAAGAGTGGCTGGAGGTTGGCTTTGGCTGCCAGGGACTGGCCTGGGACCTACTTCCACAGCACAGAGGCTGGAGATGCCAGTTAATGCTGGTCCACACAGGGGTGGGACTGCATCCAAACAAAGGCTTGGGAAGAGCTCTCAAGGCTGAGCTCTCAGTGTGGCTGTGTCCACAGGGCCCATAAAGAGGCTGCAGTCCAAGCCTGCAGGTGGACAGACATCCTCATTAGAGACCTTCAGTAGAACAGAGTCGAGCATAGACTGCCCATAGAGGCCAGGGAACTGCTCCTAGGTCTGGTTTGTTAAAGACCCATCACCCATGCTGCTTGTGCCTCTGGGAATAGACAAGAAGAAGGAGATGAATCTGGACACTCCTCCTGTCCCCTTCCAAAGGCCAGTAATGGATGAAGAAAGACAGACTAATGTTCTTGGGTCCTGTGTTGTGCTCCAGCAGAGAAGAACCCCCAGAGAATGGCTGTCTTGGTCCATCACAGATTGACTGGACCTCCTTTGTGATCTAAAAAGACAGGTCATGCAGACACATCTATCCAGGGAGAGGAAGAACTGGGAGTGGAGCTTGCCTCTGTCCTGTGTCTTGTAGAAACACTGAGCCTCTACCAGTCAGTGAGGCCAGACACCCATGGGGGGCTGCCCTCTGGCTTCTACACAGACATCCCCACAGTGTACTGAGAGGCCAGAGGACTGTGTGGAAGGGAGAGGGCGGGGAGCCCGAGCTGTCCACTTGAATATGCTGCGGGCAGCATTGTTGCCAAGGTCACTTGGATTTTCTAGACAGAGGCTCTTGTTCCTCAGTGGAAACAGATACATTGTTCTTGAGGATTTCAGGACAGAGGCTTGTTGAGTGTTTCTGGCTTTTCCAAAACACAAGGGCAGTTCTCAGGCCTGTTTTAAAGAAAGAGGGCTGTAGATCCAAGGCCGTGGAGATGCCAGGCCCTGAGCAGACCAGCAAGCCTGGTGGGATAGATTTGCATGGACTGAGCACATTTGAAAACGAGTGTTATGAAGCTGACTTCAGTTGGGTGGATCCAGGGGACCCCATTTCTTTGGCAGTTATAAGGCAAGACTTGAGAATCCTACCTAGACACGTGCAGCTGCCTCAGGCCAGAAATAGACCAGTATGAGCTGGGCTCACCCCCAGCCCTCCTGGCATGGGGCCACAAGAATTCCATGGGCATCATGAAGGATTCCCCAGTCAACTAACTGTACTCACAGAGAAATTTCAAGACCTCTGCCTGCCCTCGTCTATGGCCAAAGGCTTCTTTCCTGAGAACCAGTGGTCCTGCCCCCTGTCGCTGCTGTCCCCAATCCTGCCTTTGCCTCTGTCAAGGACATGACTTGTGTGTGTTCTCCTTCCTCTCTTTTGCACTATCAATTTTTCATTCTTACCAGAGTGCTCCCATGAGTGGACCATATCATCATGACTCCCACATTTAAACCAATCTTCTCCTGCCCTCCTCTTCTACCCAGATGGAGTAGCAAGGATCAGATTTGCCTCCCCCATCTCTGAAGCAAGCAACAAAACCAGCCACGATAAGTGAACAATAGATTATCAAAACAAGAAGGACGGTGGTCCTGGGAGATGGGAAATGGACAGAGTGTGCCCTCACAGAGCCTGAACAGGCTACAGAGTGAAGGAGGGGATCCTGGAAGAATAAGTGGGCTCCCTGAGTGGACATAACAGGACTGAGAGTCCAGGGAGACCAACGTGACTGGAGTTTTCAAGACAGAAGCAGAACTGGCAAGAGTCATCCCTGGAGATCCATAGAGGTCTCTGAGTATTCAGTGCTGCTTGCATAGAAAGAAACAGCCTGAGGTCAGGGCAAAACCACCCTAGGGAAATAAAGGACAATGGCTGGTTCTGATGCCTTTATAAGCTCCCTCATGCCAGACTGGACACTTCCTGTTTCACTGGGTATTAGCAGAACACTCATTGGGCAGCCTGGACCTAGCCCAAGGCTGAGCACTCCTCCAAAACCTCCTAACATATCAAAAAGCAATAGTCAACATGACCAAAGAGTTTCTAAGTAAATTCACTGCATCTCACAAGAAAGAGAAAGAATCTTTATAAGAATTCAAAAAAAAAAAAATTCCAGCATCCAACAAGGTAAGATGCACAATATCCAGCAACCCATGAAAGCAAGCAGGCACACAAAGAAGTAGGAAAGCATGCCCTATAATGAGAAGCATTAGATCTGACTCAGTTGACTGGTTCAGAGCCTTCCATGTAGGGCAGAGGCCCTGTCTAGCTGCAAAAGCAGAAAAAGGGGACACATGGTGAGGAAGGGCCCTCTCCTTTTCCTGCACAAGATCCTAATAAGAATTTGGGGTCAAGGGTGTTAGGGACAGAGAAAGATGTTATTAAATACATGAAAGAACCAGGAGGGAACCCCTCATCTCCACTTCCCCCTCCAGCAACCTTCCTTTTTCAGCAAAATGACACAAAAGGGTTTTTACAGTTGCTCTAACCTCTATGCTCAAATATAAACGTTTAGCCTAGCAAGTTATCACAGAGCAAGCACCTGTATAGCCACCACACAGCTTCATCCAAATTATACCTCGTCCCTTGCAGTTCCTTTTCCCTGATCTCCACCAGCTGGCAGTCCCAGTCAGCACTTCCTTAAGCTGCTGTATAGTTCACCACACAAGCAAAGATCCTTTCACCATAAGGGCATGTCTGCAGGTTGGTGCCATGTACAGAAATGGAATCATGCTGTTGAACACATGGCTTTAGATCTGGCTTTTTTCTTTCAATTTCATGGTACTAAGATTTAACTGTGTTGCTGTATGCATCAGTAATTCAATAAAATCTATTGTCTGAATATGCAATTTTTAGTCCATCCCACAATTGATGGATGCTTTGTGTTTTTGTTGTTGTTGTTGTTGTTGTTGTTTGTTTGTTTATTTCAAGGCTCTCTTAGTTGGTTTGGGCTGTTATGACAAAATAACCATAGACTAGGGGCTTAAATCACAATCACTTATTTTTCACAGTTCTGGAGGCTGGATGTCTGAGATCTGGGTGCCAGCATAGTTGGTTCCTGGTGAACCAACTATGTTCCAAGTTGCAAATGGCTGCCTTCTCACTGTGTCCTCACAAGGAGGAAAGAGAGGAAAAGGAAGCAAGTTTTAGTGTGTCTCTTCTTATAAAGTCATAAATCCCACATGAGGTCTCCATCTTCGTGACCTACTCACCTTCCAAATGCCCCATTTCCAAATACTACCACCTGGAGATTTCAAATTTCAGCTTAGAAATTTTGGAGAGACACATATCTTTAGCTCCTAGCAGACCTATCAGGCACTTGGCATAGTTTGGATTTTGAGTGTCCCCTGAAAGTCCATGTGTTAAAGACTTAGAACTCCAATTGGGATTACTGGGAGGTGGTGGAATCTTAAAAGAGGTGGGACTTAGTGAAAGTCTTCCAGTAATTGGGGGGTGTGCCCCTTCCTCTGTTCTCTTTCATCCCAAGCCAGGAGGTAAAAGGTTTCCTCTATCACCCATTCCTGCCCTAGGCCATAGACCCCAAAGGCCTATGATTTAAATATGGATTAAAACTGCCAAAACAAATCTTTCATATTTATCAATTGATTATCTCAGGTATTTAATACAGTAACAGAATATTAATATAAACTTGTTAACAAAAATATATATGTAGATATATATATTTAACCAACACACACACACACACACACACACACACACACACACACACACACACACGAAGGCTCCTAGCATGTGTATCTTCGGCTTTAATAGATACTATATCAT